AATCGCTGTCAAACGCTGGAAAACTAAAATAGCAAGCAACATACTAGGTTCCAAATACTTTGAGTAATACGCATGGCGATCTTATTTGAGTATTGGACCCGGAGAAGCAACCTCTCCCAATGCGAGTTAAAGAGATAAATAGGTGGTGCATGACGGGCTATCTGCAGTCCTGAAAGATAAATACCACAAATGCCGGTTAATTAAGTGGTTTTCGAATGTAATAACACTACTCCGGATTGCAACTTCGGTTATGTTTTTTTCCAATCCGAATGCACGCACAAAGCTGACAATTAGTATTGCCCGAGTTTCGTTGGCGCAGATAGTGCGTTCAGTTGTAATTACCATTCTTGAGATCAGCAATTTCGTAAGTTGAAACGCCAACCCTAAGTGTTGCATTTAGGAAGAGGACCAAATAAAAATTGTAAATCCATCCAAACTGGATCGCCACAGCATTGGCCACGCGACAAAGTTCATTTGAACTGTATTTGTGTGAAATTACGGCTATCGACTATTAATTTAGCTTTTCTGGACGTCTACTTCTATATGCGACCAAAGTTAGGTAAATACTAGATGCGCAGATAGAATAAAAGTCGTACGTTCCGCCATGGCCGATGAACCTTTAAAAGGGTAAATAAACTCAGTTAGAGCTAAGAGACAAGTAGGGTACTCCCTCATCAAATCGTTCTTCGACTTTCGTGGCTTCACTCTATCGCTTAACTCTATTGTGGATTTTATATGCACGTATAGCTAAACATATATCGCGGATTTTTCGCTGGTTCGTGGATTTCTATGGAAATGGCCCTGTTATTTCTGGTAAATAGTTCCTTTGCAAGCAGTTGCGGATTATGATGATGGTCAAAAAGACGGAAGTCTATTCACTACTGGTGAAACCTGTTCACTGTACTCTAATTTCTAAAGAACGGTCCCTATTCACTAATCAAGCGTGTGGATTCGGAAGCTAAAGGGGAAATTATCAGTAACAGCCTCGTTGGTCACAACCGGGCTACGTTAATGATAGAAAATGCCGCTTTTCTGACCATGAGGGAAGTATCAAATAACTAAAGCGTGTGAATAGAATCTTAATACAGACCCAGACGAATAGCCACTGTTCCAGTGTAACGTCTAATCTATCTGGCTTATTGGAATAAAATAACAGAGACGTTGTGAGGATCCTTCTAAAGAATCGTTGGACAGATGCGTAATGGCTTCGGGTGTTAATTCTGTCCAACATCTCGAGTCGGAATTGACGAATGCCTAACTAATATAGATTTTGTAAGTCAACCTTCTCCGATCATTCTGCTGTTAATTGCATCCAAAAGCAAGCAATATACAGGCCGTATGGAGGATGTTTGAACAGTTGCCTAGTTGAGGACGGCCTAACATCGTTTTTTTTCAAAGGGCAGCTTCAGGGTTCATTATTCATACTGTCCAGTGAAGTCGCCTAGTCCATAAGGCGGCACCCCCTAAATGCATCTCGGCTGGAAGGGCTTGTTAGACCAATTTTGAAGGGCCAATTTTATGACATTTGTAATCAGCGTCTATTGACACTAACTGGGAGATTAACTTAAGCACTCTTTGGAAGTAGGGCGGAGCCGCCTCGGGGAT